TAATCATTTTCTCCTACTTTTACATCAAACTAACTTTAATTATTTTAATTTAAATTTTATTTTAATATATTCACTAACAACTAACCATACTATTTTTTTTTCAAACATAACTATAGTTAAAAAAACTAGTTTTTTACTAGTTTAATTCATATCCAATCACCTCCTTAATCACTAATATCTACGAGAACTGGACAAAGTAACCACATGACTGGTGGTTTACCCAAAATGGTTATATATAATTGATTGTTATAAAACTAGAGAGAAAGAGAGAGAATAGAGAAAATGTATTCTCTTAGGTGTGTTTTTCATTATAACTGAAGCTCCTATTTATAGGAAACTCCTGATGGCACAATTTGTAATAATACAAATACATCGAGGGCAAAATAGTCATTCACATACATTATTTTATTATTTCATAACACTCCCCCTTGAATGACTATTTTCTAAACATATTTTAACTGATTTGAACAAAGCCCAATCTGCACATCTTCAAGTGTATCTTGTGGCCATCAGGTACCGTTGCTTCAGCACGTCAGGAAAACCCGGTAGGACAAAACCTGATCATCTTGAAATCATAACATTGTTTCTTCAGGAAAACCCAGTGGGACAAAACCTGAGCATTGTGGAAGCACAACATAGCTCCCCCTCAAATAGATCATCTTTAGTGGAATATCCATGTGCTGCCTCGTTAAAACCTTGTCAAGAAAACCCAGTGGGAAAAAACTTGATCGAAGGAAAAAGAGTACAGCTACTTCAGTATCTCTTATCATCGTGAAGAATCATATCATTTATCCAGTAGTCCTCATCATACCATGAATATGCCTCGTTAAAACCTTATTAGAAAAAACCCAGTGGGACAAAATCCTAATGAAGGAAAAAGAGTACACTATTCATGTGAATACGCTATCCTTGCTGCCTCATTAGAAACCTTGCTAGGAAAACCCAATGGGACAAAACCTTAGCCAAGGGAAAAAGAGTACAACGCGTATTTCATATATTCACCATAATAATCATTCATAATTTGTATGAGTATCATATAAATTCTTTCGGATTTGTAGATACTGATGGTATTCACGACAATATGTCATATCATGCCTTGTGCAATTTTTATTCTTAAACTCATTCTCAACATCAATTGATTTCAATGGTCTTATTGCCAATAATTCCCAATATTCACATTTCAGCTGATTTCATTTTCGACAATATTATTTATATAGCGCTATTCATTTGTTTATGTCGACACTTATTCATCTCCATTATTCTCCGTAGTATATTGAGATTTCTCATTATCAATTGATTCCATCAATGGTTTATATATGCCTCCTTTCATCACATATTTGGGGGATTTCAATTTGCACAATATCAACGCTTCCAGCGTATTATTCCACCAACATATCATTTCATATATTTCACATCATCAGTATCATACAGTTTATGATGCGCACACTCTCAGTGTGATGCATATATCATTTCCAAATTTCAATCATTGATTCTCTCCCTCATCTTAACAGATCCCTGATCTGTATTTTTAGTATTGAATTTCTTGAGGGGAGTTCATATAGTCTCTATTTTGTTCTCGATTTCAACATATATTTGGAGGACTTTGAACTCATATAATTTGTAGCGTGCACATTTTTCTTTCAAGAGTTCATCATATCAGGTGAGTATATTACTAGCTTCATCACTTTCATATGACACTTATTTTCATTCTTTCATAATCATATTGTGTCATCCTTAGATCAAACCATCTCGTAAATTCAGGTTACATGTCATATACACATTCTTTGATCAAATCAGCTCGTAACTTCAGGTTACGAATCACACACATGTGGCTATCTAGTGGATCCATAATATCTAGTAGCACACATGGAGGGGTAGTGGGCCCATATATATCGTACCCCTTTCATACTCAGATTGATCATATATCGATTCACAAATATTTAGCTAGTAATATTTTTCACTAATCGAGAACAAGCATCTCATATCACAAAGAATAAGTTCATCATGCAAACCATCATCAATAATATCGGTAAACATTTTTAAAGTGATCACAATAATTCGTTGTGACATGTTTATCACAAACATTTCACATCATCTTTCGGCGGCAATAAATGCACTTTAAGTGTAGGCTCTGGTATAATATCTTTTAACCACTGTTTAAATCCAGAATCACATCATGCTGTCTGACACACATACTTTGAACACTGTTTAAGTCCAGAGTCGTATCTCATACGCATCATATTTTTCTATAAATTATCAGGTAATTCATTCAATTTTCTTTAACAAAGGTCCGAATTTACAAATGGATTTAGCACTCTCAAATATCCGTAAATATTATTCTTTTCTTCCGAAAAATATCATAAAAAGGATATATCGATCTCGATTAGAAAGATTGAGGGTGCTAATGATTAATAATATTCCAAATGATATTCGATGGTTGATTGAAGCAAAAGTTCGATTGTCTGGAGAATTTCCAAATTCATACAAATATATGCCAGGTATGGGTAAAAGTACTTTTTCAAAGAAACGAAGAGCAAAAAGATTAGGTGGATGTTTCAAATGCGCTCGATGGACTTGTGACACACGATGTACATCTGTGGGGTTCGTGTCCAAAAATCGAGAAAATAAAATATCATTTATAAAGGATGGATTGAGTAAGGAGTCTTTGGATCAAACGATTCAACAGATTCTTGAGACACATCCTAGTGGATACGTGCATCGTGAGCTTATGTCTTTATGGATTCAGTTCAAAAATGAAGAAGAACGTTATAGTCTCGAAAATATTATTTCAAAAGATCAAGTTTGTAAAACTGGTCTTGTTAGTACGAAAAATCATACTAATACAGTTTAGTATGTTGTACTGTAATTTTCTAGAAAAACTTATAGTTGCCGACAGATAAGATTTATTTAAAAACCAACACCTTATCTGTCAGTTGCAATTGTCAGAAGAAACAGTAAAATTATTTATTGCTTTGTAAAACTTTTTATTTAAATAGCGAGTCGTTCATCATAATCATATGCCTCACAAAGTTTTGAAAAATTCAGTTTATCAATAAATAGATGGATGTTTCAGAGTCTTCGCAAGGTAATAATTTTCTTCAACCGATCAAAACCATATGTGTTCTTGGTGGTTCTAAACTGGTAAGTTTTTCTCAAACTATCGATATTGTAAGTCAGTTAGTCAAAGAGATGGGGAATCAAAAAATCAATTTGCTGTATGGAGGGACTAGCAATACTTTCTATGATAGTCTCTTAATGGCTGGACAATGTTTTGAGATAGAAGTGAAAAGTATCATACCTTTTCGTAGAGCTTCAACAAAGGTCGTCAAGGATTCCACAAGCATGATGTTAACTCATTCATTCATGATTGTATGATGGATATGGTGAACAATAGCGATGCTTTTATCATTCTTCCAGGCGGGTATGGAACGCTAATGACAATGTTCACCATTGCTTTATGGGCAGAATTGAAACTTCATAACAAGCCCATAGGTCTATTGAACTTTAATAACTTCTTTCATGGTTTGCTTGGATTTTTAGACATAGGAGTATATCAAACCTTTATATCTCCTTCAATGAGAGAAGTATTCAAATCTGCTGACACGTCTGCTGAACTTATCAAAAAGCTTCAAGAATGCATCACATTTCAAGATTCTGTGGAAACACAAGGGGTCAAGCGAAAAAGAGCTTTTGATCCTTTAGATCTCTCATTATGAACCCAGATATTATTCAAATATGAACCCAGATATCATTCATGGGTGGCAGAGTTACGGAGTTTTACACTCTCGAGACGCACCCTTCTTTTATGGGTTCTATTATGTAATCTTTGCGTATTTTGTATTCATCGAGTATTTACTGCCTCTTTTCCATATTTCCACCATCTGAACATTTTGTACTTGTTTCTCAGTAATAATAATATCAATTTCGCTTTTTCCTCAAGATACGTGTGTAGTACTTCATGACTACAATAATTATCATATGTGCTTCTTCTAGAGCACTTTATTGTAATATTTGTATGACCTCGAATCTCAATGAGATCTGATATAGTCCCTTAGACTCATTTAATATATTGAGAAATCATTTTGTGTGATCACCCATAACTAGTAACTTTTGGTACCATTTTCTCATTTTGTTCAATCATCCAATGGTAGCTTCTAGTACCATTTCATTACTTTGTTTAATCATAACATAGTATCTTTAGTACCAATATACCAGATATCATTTAATCATTATGTACTAACTTCTGGTACTACTTCATCAATATTTGTTTCTCCATCAATAAATTTGGAGAATTTATCAACTGTTCCTTCAAGATCAGGTTAGTCCATATAATATTCGTTCACGACAAGGACTTTAATTAACTCTCACATGGCCAGATACAAAGTATCATTCATTTCACTCATCGGCTAATGCTTAATTTGTACTGCCCGTCGCCGGCGGCAGAGCTGCACAGGCTGGCGCATGTATATATAGCCATTCATATCATGCCCTTATCACCTCGCCATACCACATCACCGGTTACCGACCAATCCATTTAGCCGTTTAAATCTTTTACTATATTTTTCCGATGGCCGCACTGCTTGGCCATTTCATATGGTCGTTCATACTTCTTTATAATGTTTCGATCAACAATTGAACTATCTGTTACCATTGAATATTGCCTGCCGGCGGCAGAGCCGTACTGGCCGGTCCTCGTAACCACACATACTAATTTTCATATCACAAGGGTCAATCTATAAATATCCACGATAGAAAAAAAATTCAAGTATTTCATAATCATATGATATAATAAACCATATCAATATTGGTATTAAATCGAAACTATGATTAAATAGAGTACTATGCATTTCATAAAAGCATATTTCAATAATTCTTGCCTTTTATATTTGACAAGACATGATCCTATAATTAAATGATCAGGTAAATATTTCATCAACTTTTATTTTGTGTGCATTTGATTTCCCAAATGATGGTACTTATGAGTATCATAAAAAAAACAGACGTACCTGTTGTGTTCCTTATGCTTTTTCGTGGACAACCGCAACGCTTAATTGACCGCGAGCCGATGAATCCAGATCGATAATATTAAAGTAGTATTTTATACCCATACATGGGTGATGGGTGGTGGGTACCATTTTATCTATAAGAATGAATATTATAGCTTTTGTCCTTATAGTAAGTTATAAAAAAATCAACTTGACAATTGGCACAAGTGGTCACCACTTCCGTGTCTTAATTGCCCGTATTATTATTATTATTTTTTTTTTATTTAAAATTCATTATCCTCCAATGTCTATCTATCTCACCCATTCACTTTCTCTTTCCTTTTTCTTCTGCGTGAATCAAGAACAAATCAACCCAAATATCCTTTCATCAATTTCATTCTCTTCTCACCATCCTCCTTTCTTTTTCATTTTTTTTTCATCCTCTACAACACATTTGAGTAGGATTCCCATACGAATGATAATACTTACCTTCACAACTTCTCTTGTCTATTTGGCCATGACATACATTATGATACATTTTTTCCATTTTTTTTTTTATTTATAAATTTCAGTCGGTAATACCTTTCTTCAGCCTTTATTGTGAATTTCATCATCCAATCTTCGACGATGCACGTCACCGGCAGCTCTTTGGAGGCTTTGAGTCCTACCATCAGTTCACAGAGGGACTCGAGGACATATAATTTGGGATTCATTTTTGTCCTTTTTCTCTGGTTACACTCTATTTTGTTTTATCTCTATTTACTGTTTTGCTTGCTTTTTCTTTGGTATAGAGAGAAAAGAAAATTTGTAATATTTCGATTTCTGATACAGAGGATCGTCTATAAGACGCAACTGTAGAGCATACTCTCGTCATATTATAAATCGAGCTCTGAAGGGCAGAGACTCGTGCTGATAACGTGTTATAAAACTAGAGAGAAAGAGAGAGAATAGAGAAAATGTATTCTCTTAGGTGTGTTTTTCATTATAACTGAAGCTCCTATTTATAGGAAACTCCTGATGGCACAATTTGTAATAATACAAATACATCGAGGGAAAAATAGTCATTCACATACATTATTTTATTATTTCATAACATTGATAACATTGTAACAGCAAAAATTATGGCGATTAGCCCATCATAGATTTTAAAAGCCAATATAAAGCAGGGTGGGGACATATTGGAAAGAACCAAGTGTCAATCAATGAAAATCTAGTGGTACATTTTGGTCCTGGAGAAGCTCCTTGATAAGAGTACAAATCTAAAGAATAAGAGATGAGACGGGAAATAGTGACCACCGTTTGTAGAAAATGAGTAGGCTGCTGACACGGGCTGGTTTTGCAAATTAGAGTTAGGTAATGTAGATCCCTTAGAAGCAGGGCTTGGGGTCCAACCAAGTCCAAAACCTGTAGTGTAATAATATTTTTATATTATTCTATTATTGTGGACCATATAATTAATTGGACCTAATTGAATTAATAGTCAAACTTTGAATATGTATTTACTGTATTATTAATGTTCTAATACTAAAGAGTCCAATTTGTGATGTTTGACTTGAACAGTAAGATATGTTAGAACATGTGTAACGCCCCGTTTTATTTTAAAGAATTTATCGAATTTATTTAATAAAAATCAGAGTTTTTTTTTTTTTAAATCCAAGTTAAAACCTTTTTCGAGAAACGGGCGCTACTTCCTAACATCAACCAACAACACACATGCACGAGCTAACAATAAAACAAATACCAAAACATAAATCTCAAACCATTTTAAAAAGTCTAGCCTTATTCAAAGTTCAACCAAATCCTACACATACATAAGCCAACAGTTATACAAATAAACCAGCTTATTCAAGTCTCAACATTATCCAAAAAGTTTAACATAAATCCATGGTTCATCCAACACAAACATGATTTCAAGCTGAAGCATAAATAATCCAAAATAAATGCAAGTAGTTCATCATATAATAAAAATAGGCGGAAGCAAAGACACATCAATTAATGACCACCATCTCGCTCGTCCTACGCCACCGCCTCCAGCTCGTCTCAACCTAATACAAAGGAAGAGAGAAGACAACAAGAAAATAATGGGGGTGAGCATAACCAACAAGCTCACCATTATCGCACAGTATATCTCACATAACATTTTTAAACCATCATAACCATAGTATTCAGTATGCATAGAATCCAACAGTCTAACTCCCTACTTGGCCCTATCGCAAATCTCCTATGTACATACAACAACAAACATCGGCAAGGCCGTAACTGGAAAATTTCTCCCACTCCGAACTACTCACGGATCATGGGAGTCCACCCCGAACTACTCACGGATCATGGATGTTTTCCAGGAGACAGTGGAGATGTTTTTCCCCCCCGAAACTCACACGGATCAGGGCGTCTCCTCCCGGATACATTCGTCAAAGGCACTATCGTTCGGGACACTTAGACTAGAGTTCTCATGCATACATCACTTTTCAAACAAAGCATTTATACGAAATATTAAGTGCGATAAATATGGAATACATCATAAATGTACCCACCTGATAGCAGCAACAGTTCACAGGATCACAAATCTTGGAATAAGGCAAGGTCAACACCTCTAGACACCTATATGATGTCAAGATCCTACAATCAATATCTATCTCGACTTAAATCGAAAATCACAAGACATACCTAGTCGAACCCGATCCGACTAAGTAGTTCGTGAAGTCCTGTGGATGTTGGAACACTAAGACTCGGCACTAAACTCGACCAAACCACATAAGAGAGTTCACATAAAACCATCCAAAGATTGACCAAGTCAAATTCACATCAAAACTAAAAGCAAGTCGATTCCCAAAATTTCATATAAAAATCATGTTCGGAAATAGAAATCATTTAATCACATGAAAATAGATGGTCAAGCTACCCTACAAGTTAAGCTCTGAAAATTTACACAACATTTCATCTCCCAGAAACATGTAAAACCACAAAGTTTCAGCTTTAAACTCGAAATACCCTATTTTATAAAATTCGAACAAGATATCAGCAAAAGGGGCACATTAATTCATACTCAGACTTAATGAATGAATCTGAACTTGACAATTTTACACAGCAACATACATTATGCTAAAGTTCATGTATAAAAATCTCAGCCTCAAATGATAATTGCTGCTATTTTTAAAAATTCATACGAGCAACAGCATTTTATCGAATTTAAATCCAAACTGAATTAAAACGGACTCCAAAAATTCCCATCTTTTACAAACATGAGCAAACACATATAATAGGCTTCTCAGTAAAATTTCAGAATTTTCCAAGAAGTAACCAATTTATAAAAATTCAAACAACGTTTCTGCAGATTCGATAAATAAAATATTTACCACAAAAAATCAACTCCAAAAATTCTAAACATTTAACACAACACATATAAGTCGCAAAGGCATCACATATTCAAATTTCAGCTCATTCCATTCAAGCATGAATGTTTTGTGCATTTAACATTATTCTGATCAGATTACACTTTAATTATTAAAAATAGCTACAGGCCTCCAAAAATTACAAAATTTTTACACAAGGCTAGCAATGAGCAGATAACACATCCCTCAAAATTTCACATCGTTTCGAGCAGCGAGCTATTTTTAAAAATTCGAACACCGAAACAGCAATTTACAAACTCGACAACTTGGCAATTAAATCACAACATAAAATTTCTCGTCCGAGGCCTTTCATAAGACCAAGGACTCGACATTGTTCCATTATCCACCGACTTACACGACTTTCGAGGTCTCGTTCGATTTTTGAGAAAATGGAAGAGGTCCCGAACATACGAACACATAAAATCATAAAAATATATATAAACGCACATATTCACATCAAGAACTTCACACATATATATCATTGATCAACGAGCACTTCACGACAATAAACACCCAACAAAATAAATCATATACGAGTTAAACGAGACGGAAAAACGACGAGGTACCGTTCTCGGAAATAACTCGAAAAAGCGTCACGAATGCGAACGGGCTCGACGGGGATCGACGGCTTCGCGCGGCTCGCCGAGGAGAGAGCTGGGGTGGTCCTTCTCGGTTGCGGATTTGCTGCGATGGCCGAGGCGAGCCGTCAAAGGTGCTACTGCGGGGGAAGATTCTCGCCGGAAAAAGCTTCATGGAGAAGCAGGTTGCCGGAAGTTGCAGGTGGAAGGGTTCTCGTCGGCGTTAGAAGCTCACGAAGGGAAAAGGCACGTCGTCAGGGCTTGCCGGACTGCTGCTGATCGTGAGCTAAGAGAGAAGGGCTCGCCGGTGGTGATGGAGGCGTCGCTGCTCGAGGTGGTGTCTCGCGTGGTGTCTCAACGAGGGAGATGACGTTGACTCGCGGACAGGGGAAAGAGGGGGACACCGGAGGGAGCGCGCGGAAGAGCAGTCGCAGACGGAGATGCTTGTAGGCTCGTCGTCGTGCTTCACGATGGTGGGATTTCCGGCGAGAGGAAAGGATGGGAGGCGACGGGGCTTTTTCTCCTTCTCAGCGTGAGAAGGAAGATCGACAATGGCGAGACTGATTTAAGAGAGGGAGATGGAATTCTATGATATAGAAACGAACGATAGGGAGAGATCGATGACTGTGGGGCGATGAGATTTGCGTGAAAAAAGGCTGCGGGTTTGGAGAAACAGGGAAGAAGAGATATATGTACATATATATATACAATAACCTAGGTTTAAAGAAAAATATCTTGATCACAAGATTAAACACACACTCTCAACCGGTTAGGAATAGGGAAAAAGGAAAAAGAAATAAAAATCCGGTTTTAACTGGCTGGGCCGAACCGGGTTCGGTTCGCAGGCCGGTCAGGTTCACGCGGGTCAACCCGGAAAAATGGGCGAAGGCGCGGGCCGGATTTTCGGGTTCAGTTCGCAAATTAAATTGGCTCACGGGCCCGATTACAATTCAAACGGATATTCTCGAGCCCAATTTCGGTTCCAACAAAAATTTTCGGGCTCGATAACGAATTCAACGCGCGATTAATAAATTCGGGTCTCGGGCCCGATTCAATCACACGAAAATAAATTCAGCTCTCGGGCTCGGGTTCTCCGATTACTAATTTCGACAGCTCAAATCGATTGCA